CCAGCCTTCCAGTTCCATGCAACCCGCTGGGCCAGGGAGGGCGCTGGAAGTTGTAGAGTCGCTGCGTGTATTTAAAACAAGATCTGCCCACAGAGAGAGATGAAGAAGACAAGGACATGCTAATATTGAGGTTTGTGCTCCCTGCCTGCTCTGTGTTTCAGCTTTGCCTCGCTCACCGAGAGATGTCTTGCTTCAGACCATGTCCCCCACGCCCCTGCGGCACCTCTGGCCCAACGCCACTTGCAAGCAGTTGCAGTGAACCCTGCATCTCCCGCTGCGCTGACTCGACGGTGTTCATTGAGGCCTCCCCAGTGGTGGTGACCCTGCCGGGCCCCATCCTCACCTCTTTCCCGCAGAGCACAGCCGTGGGATCCTCTCTGTCAGCTGCTGTTGGGAGCTCCCTCAGCACTGGCGGGGTTCCCATCTCTTCTGGGGGCTCCCTTGGTCTCGGGGGCTCAGGCCTGTGTCTGCCTCCCCCCCGCTGCAGTCTGAACTGCTGAAGCTGGCGGATCATCCCCTTTGGAGCCGGAAGGAGGACGTGCACCCTGCATGAGCAGGAGCGTGGCCACGGCTTCCAGATGGGCTGCGTGTCCTCTTCCCACCTGGCAGGAGGGTCCTGTGCCCACTGCTCCTCACTGCTGGACGAGCCTCGCACTGCCTTCTCTGTCTCTGCTTTGCTCTGAGCCCCTAAGAGAAAGGGCTCCTTCTCTTCTGCTTTGCTGAACCTCCTACTGAGGTGGAGAGGGATCTGGAGTCAGGGACTGCTCTTGGTGGCCTGGGAATACCACCAGGTGAAGCAGAATGGGAAAAGGGAAGTTCTTTCTGTGGACCTTGTCCTTTGGAAACGGGCCCTTCTCTGTGCCTCCCCAAACCCTGCAGACGTCTTCCCTGGTCTCTCTTCTGTGCCCCTGCATTTGCTCCTTCTGATTAAAGACTATGTGCAGCATATCTGGAGTCTCGTGGTTGGTTGTTCTCCTCCTCCCTCACTTACCTGCTGTGCAAGGAGAGATCTGCTGTCTCTCATGACAGACAAGCATGGACTACTGCCATGTTTAGCTGGAGCTCCCTGAATTGATCGAGGATCAAAAATAAACAAGTTGACAAAGAGAAACAGAAAAGCCCCAGAGAAACTGAGCGAGGAAGAAGCAGTGGACAGAGTTGGATCTGTGGCTACTGCCAGAGGTATTGGTGGTCAAAGACGGGAAAAGGTTGCTCAGGGAGTAGAAGATTCTCCATCTTTGGAGATGTCTAACGTAGAACCAGACAAGGCCAGGAAAAACGTCCCCTGCTTGACCTGGACCTGGACTTTGTGATCTCCACCTCAGGTGTTGCGTGATTTGGTGAGAAACTGCTGGATGCCCCCATGCAGGAACAGCCAACAAGTGCAACAAGTGCACAGAGGGTGCAGGGGCCAATGATCCAGATCAGAGTGCGTGACACAACTGACCCAGCAGCAAAAGCAAGGCTGTCAAGGTGTAAGCATGCTGAGCAAGCCCTGAGGGAGCCAAAACCTTGCTCAAGGTCCCACTGAGATTTGAACTCAGATCGCTGGATTCAGAGTCCAGAGTGCTCACCATTACACCATGGGACCTCTGGGCGTATGCTCCATAGGTCTTTCCCCTGCAGCCACCCTGGCTGAGACATATGCTCCTGGCTCAGCCTGCCAGTCTTTCCATCTCCCTGGCCATCAGTCATCAAGGGCAGCATTCTTTCAGGGACACTGGGCACTTTTCACTCACAGAAGAGGAAGTGGCACAGCATTTTGTGCAAGCCTCGCATACCCTCTCTCAAAAGACACAGGCTGGTATCCCCGGAGAATCTTCCTGTTGCCTGATGAAAACTGCTGAAGACCTTTCCAGCTTAACATCCTCATCACTCATACCTCAAAGCGGACATTCACAGCCCAGTGATCGGTGGTTCAGTGCGTGCACTTGTGGGATCTGCTGGCGTCTTCCCCTTTCAACTCCGCATGCGGGACAGCCTCTCAATCTGCCACTCTAAGTCATGGCCTGTCCTGTTTCTCACCTTGTAGCTCCTACTAAGCAGCCTTTGCCCAGATATCCTTACTCTCAGTTGCACTCCGAGACAAGCTCCTGACCTTGACGAATGAGGCAATCATGACAGGGGACAGCGGACGTGCTTCAACTGCAAGACCAACTAGTAGGAGGACCCAAAGCAGTTTGTTATGGGTTGCACAAGCTGGGCTGCCTTCCTCTGCTGGGACAGTCTAGGCTGACTTCAAACCCTGTCCTTTCTTTCAGGGACACACTGTCCCCTTGCGCCCCAGACTGGCCTCTCCCTCATGGAGAACACTGGTTGCTCTCCTGAGATGGCTCCAGACTCAGGTGCATTTTGCTGTGATCCTGAGCAGAGGCACTTTCCTTCATGCCTTGGGACCAGCACATTGCCCACCAAAGAAGAGTTCGTGCACACAGTGGGAAGAAGCTCCCTGCTTGAGGAAGGAGCATGCACTGTGACTCCCTTAAATGCCTTTCAACCTGCAGGATTTAGAGAAGGGAAAGTGGAATCAGGGCTAGCCCCAGAGCTGGAGCAGGCAGCTCATTGCCTGAGCCCTAGTGGAACTTGAGTGAGATACCCAACGTGAAGAGGAATCCACTGATAAGCAGATAGACTCCACAACTCGTTAAAGTTGTAATGTAGGTATTCTTTATTCAGCGCTGAGGAGCATGGGGGATCGCTCCTCTAAAACCATGCACACCTTTCCTTTGCCACTCTGTTTGTTTACATTACATATAATGGTTACAGAAACATGAGATTGCTTCACGCCCTATACATATGCAAAACCTATTCCCATCTAGTATTATAATCAGTTTTCTGGCATTTGTCCCATTGATGCGCTTGCGCAGTGCCTCCAGGGCGTGGATTTTAGGGGGTCGTGAGCATGAAGGCCTGTAGTTCTTCTTCATCACCGCGAGTTACCTCCTTCTTTCACGCAGACTCAGTAGGGTTTCGGCTCCTATTGAAACCTCAGGTTCGGTGCAAGCCGGTTTTACGTATCTTAAAGTAGAAACTTGTCAAACTTGAAAATTCTGTTACTGTTATCTTTGGTTCCTTTTCTTTCTATGGATACTATTTAAACAAGAATGTCCTAAATGTTCATTACACAAGTTATGAATCTTATCTACCACAATTCTGCCTAGCAGCTACTACTACAATTCTGCTTCACAGTTCTAGCAATTTTGACTCCTACAGTTCTGCTTCACCAAGCACAATGACTGTTTAAGCAAGCAGGCACAATGTTAACCCTTTATTTCCAGGTATCAGCACGTGTTCTCTGGGCACCTGCTCCAGTGCTTCAAGACAGCCTGAGAATCAATCAGTGGTCCAAAGCAGCCCCTGAATTCTGCTTTTTGCAAGCTGGGCCATGCTCAAAGCCTGGCTGGTCCCTGCTCAGCTTGGAGGAGCCCAGAGAAATAGCCACAAGGCAGGGCTGCAGTGGGGAGTGGCTCCAGAGTCCCATGGGACCTGAACGTCCTAAGGGAAGGTGGGTTCTTCTGGAACAGGAGAAGCAAGGCACCCTGAAGCCAGGCTGAAGAAAAGCTTGTCTGCATTGTCCAGGAATCAAATGTGGGACAAGTGCTTGGAAGGCAGCTGTGCTCTCAATGATACCATCAATGCCCATGGGGCCACGACTGCCTCCTGCTCCCCCACTTGCCAATCTGCCTGCCTCACTCTGCTAGTTCACAGAGTGACCTGTCTACTGCTCCTCCACATCAGTGCGTGGTCAGCCTTCTCCTTCCAATCCCCAGTATGCAAAGGACCTCAAGCTGCTGGGATGTCTGTGTTTGTCCCCTGGGAGTGACATCTTGGATGTGGACACTTTTGCTGCTGGGTGCTAGTAACAGTGCCTCTCTCAGACTACATTCATTCCTTTACCAGCTGTACATGTAGTACGCACGTGGATTTGCCTTTGTGGCTACGCACCTCTGGTGGCATAATCACAGACAAAAGCCAGCCAGCTGCTCACTCCTTCCCAGACTCCGGGGGTCGGATACAGAGAGCTGAAAACAGGATGGGTCATGACTTTGAAAAACACAGCTTAGCAAAAACTCCTACGGGCAAACCAGGCTTACCTTGGCAGGGGAGTCGGGGCATAGAGGGTGTGGAAATCGTTGCAGATTAAAACAGATTCATGTAGTGAGAAACAGAAACACCAACATAAAACACCGTCTTTCCTCACCCCTGTCCAAAGGTCTGTTTTACACATTCACGCCACATTCCTTTCCCTGACTTGTACTCCCACCTTGTGCAGCCCTAGCCTTATTGCTACCTGAGAGCCCAGGGCTGCCCCTGACACCATGCAGCTTGCCATAGCCCGAGAAACCCCTTTTCTCTGTGCCTGGAGCCATTCCTGTCCTGCCCAACACTGCTGGCCAGAGCATGCAGCAGGCAGGCAGAGGAGGGAAAAGCAAAAGGCAGACAGAGAGGGCCAGCACGGGGATGCAGATGTGAGCACGCTAAAGTGTCCTTTCCACTGCCCTTTCCTTCTTTATTCCTGCTGAGAATCTCTCTGAGGTTCTTTCTCCCTTGCAGTGCTTTCCCCAGCCTCGGTGGCATGGCTACAGGGAATCGACCATGTGCCAGCAATGTGGGTTTCTCTCCTCTTTCTGTAGGCTCTTCCTGCATGTGCTTCTCAGAGTTTACTTTTTCCTTTAGCTGCTAAACCACGCAGGCAGGCTACCAGAAGCTCAACCTCTGCCGCTGCTCTAGTAGGGGCAGCTGGGCATGCAACTGAATGAAGACCTCTGGGAAGCCTCACCTTAAATGCCTACCTTGTCAATGGAAGCAGAGTTTACCATTCAACCAGGACAAGACCAAGAAGGAAAGGGCTTTAACTGTCTACCTGAGCACCAGGCACACTGTGGAGCTGGAAGCCACTGCAGAAACCTGGTCATTTGGTAGCAGCCCAAAATGCAGCTGTTCACCGTAGCTGGCAGGATTCGAACCTGCGCGGGGAAACCCCAATGGATTTCTAGTCCATCGCCTTCACCACTCGGCCACAACTACCTGATGCAGATCTCTTTGCCCCGCTGATCACAGTGCCTGTGCAATGACACCTGGCTGCCGGGGAGTTTCAGGGCAATGCTCCACTTCCAGATTTGTAGCCGGGACTTTCACTGCACGTGTAATGAGTCAAAGACCTCTCTGTGTTATCTCAAGGCATCCTGGAGGCCCTGACTAACCCTGTTCAGGAGCCGGCACTGCAGGGACATCCTGGAACTGGGTGCAACACCGTCCCTGGCAGCTAAGAGCTGAGACAACTTCATGTCGCTTGCAGCTTATGGCCTATGGAACACTGGAGAAAAAGGAGCCTCTCAGAACTGGACTCTCTGTCTGAAGGGGACAAAGCTACTCAAACCTTTTCTAGTTCAACCGTTGCTTAAAGCAAAACAAGCTACAGTCCTTCCTCTGCTGACATTCAGAAAACAATCTGCATGGTGAGGCTGTCTGTGGGATTTGTGTTAGCGCAGTGTTTACAGGCTTCCCTGCACTTCAACCTACAAAAGGACCTCGAGTCCATCTCTCAGAGCAGCTGAGAGCAATTGTGATGACAAAGGCAGAAATGCCTTTGAGGAAGCAGAACTTTTGGAGGATTGAGGCTATGAGCTCTGGCAACGCTGGCTTGCCTGCATCCAGGACACTGTGTCCTCTGAAGTCCACAGCAGTGTGACTCATGTTAGCCTGCAATTCAGGGGTTTTTCCCAACTTCCACATCACAATGACTCCCAGCTGCTCTAGGAGACTGATCCGATGTCCCTTTGTAATTTGAAATGCATGGAACTGGCCACCCCATCCCTGACCCAGAACAATGGGCTGTGAGTTTCCGGCTCCCTTCCCCACACCTCTCCTCAAAAGCATGTCATCCAGGCATCTGGTGTCTGGGACACCCTTGCTGAGCAAAACAGGTCAATTTGGGTGTGGGTTTCACTCAGGGAAGATCGCGGGCGTCTCTTTCATCACAAAACCAGGCCGCGGTAGAGCCTGATGAACTTAAGCAATGTGCTCGTGGCTATCACTCCTTCCCGCAGAGAATTTCCTCATAGTGCACAATGGTCCTTTCTTGCTGTTGAGGGTACAGAGGTGAGACTGTCCGGCCTGCAGTTCCCCAGGTCTTCCTTTTTTCCTTTTATATATCTGGGGGTGGGGGTGCGTATTTCCCATTTTCCAGCCACTGGGTATCTTACAACTTTGCTATTTGGACGGATAGCGGCTTAGCAACTTCCTCTGACAGTTCCTGCAGGACTCTCGGGTGCATCTCCTCAGTTCCCAAAGGACTGGTGCACTTTCAAGTTCCTGACATGGTCTTGAACTTCCATCTTCTTCATGTTGGTCACAGCCAGGCCTCTCGTTTGGCTCACCTAAAGCGTGGGGCTACAACTTCTTTCACCTTCCTTTGCTGTTCTATGTACCTGAAGAATGCCTTCTAGTTGTTTTTCATGGCCCCAGACAACTTCAGCGCCTGCAATGCTTTGGTTTTCCTGATGCCCTCCATAGACGCCCATGACTTTCCCTGTAGTCTGCCCAGGATGTGTATCCCTGCCTTCACTGCCTGTGCATCTTTGGTATGTTTTTAGTTTTGTTTAGTTTGGTTAGGTTTGGTTTGGTTCAGTTTGGCTAAGAGGCCTTGCCTTCCCCAAGCTAGCCTCCTGCTTCCCGTCGGACTTCTTGCATCTTAGGATTTCTAGAGGCTCCAGAAAAACATCTTTCAATATGTCCCAGGTCTCAGCATCCTTTCTCTCTGAGGCCGTTTTCCAAGGGATCGCACACGGTAGCGCCTTAAACAGCCAAGAGCTTGTCTTTCTACAGTGTAGGGTCCTGACTCTACTTTTTACCTACTCTATACCTCTCAAGGCTGAGAATTCTACCAAGAGATGACTGCTGCTGACCAGGCTACCTCCTGTCTTGACCGTTTTCGTAAGTTCTTCTGCACTAGAAAGGAGCAGGTTTAGCTGTGTCTCTCCTGTGGTCGAATTCTCCATCACTTCTACTAGGAAGTCATTCACGACAGACTCCAGTAGTTTCCTGGACTGCTTTTGGTTGGCTGTGTCACTTTGTCAGTAGACGTCTTGGTGGTTGAAGTACCTTGTCAGGATCAGGACCTAAGAAGAGGCGATGCTTCCTAAGGCTTTGCCACAGACAGTTTTTACTGCCCACAAGCTCAGGTAACAAAGGGAGATTGAAAATGACAGATAGCAGACCACTGTCAGGCAGCTCTTTCAAGTGACTTCTCCATAGTTACGCCCCTTGATGACTAAACCGTGCCCTAAGGCTTCTTCCAACCAGGGGCCTGGGCTCAAACTGGGAAGTGGGGAACCTGCTGGAAACAAGGAAATCAGCATTTAGGAGGGTGATCAAAGAGTTGCCGCATCCTTCCTGAAAGAGACACACACGCTCATTCACCTGTTTTGCTCTTTGATGAAACCGGCACCTGAAGCTATGAGCTGTGGTGTGCCTGACACACCTGAGAAAGGGCATCGTCTCCACTGAAGTCCACAGCAGCGGGGCTCATGTTAGCCTGCAATTCAGGGGTTTTCCCAACTCTTCCACATCACAAATCGGTGTGGGTCTCACTCAGAGAAGATCGAGGGCATCTCTTTCATCACAAAACTAGGCCGTGGTAGAGCCTGATGAGCATACGCAAGGTGCTCATGGCCATCACTCCTTCCCGCAGAAAAGTTCCTTATGGTGCACAATCATAGAATCATAGAATCATAGAATAGTTAGCGTTGGAAAGGACCTTAAGATCATCTAGTTCCAACCCCCCTGCTGGGGGTAGGGACACCTTACGCTAAATCATATCACCCAAGGCCTCGTCCAACCTGGTCTTGAACACTGCCAGGGATGGAGCATGGTCCTTCCTTGCTGTTGAGATTTGCTGCATCCCTGCAGAGCTGAGTTTCACCTCACGTATGGGTTTGTGCAGTCTTGACCTTCTGATTGAACATACTCAGTGTCTTCTGTGTCCTACAATGACCTGTGGGGAGCATGTGTCTCCGATGTTATCCGTAGTGCCTGACAGGAAAGCACTTGAGGTGAGCTCATAACTGAATTTGACCATGACTGATAGCCACGCTCACCGCTAATAAGGCAAAGGACGGAAACACACTCTAAATATCCTTCTGCACATGCCTGAGACATCTGAGTTGATCGATCTTATGAAGGTGCGGCACAGATAAGTTGTTCTGATATTCAGTGACAGAAAGCGGGAGCACAGTATTTCAGATGAAAGAGGCAAGGGCTTCATCATCAGCGAGTCCTTGGCAAGCAGCAACTACTACGTGTTCAGATGCTTCATGAGCAAGGAATGTTGGTTTCCCCCAGGGCTCTGGAACACAGCATAAAAGCCTGCTCTGCTCCAGGCTCTGCATCTTCCTCTCTTGCTTCCCTTTCCTCTAAGAGCAAGGTAAGCCTGAGACTGCTCTCTCTCTCTCTGTGGGCTGAAGTGCTGTGCTGGTGGCTACTCAGGCTGATATTGGGCTGCCTCTGCTTGGCCCTGCAAGGGAAATAGTCAACCCCTGAGACCTCTGTCTTTTTCATGGAGGTGGCTGGGGGGAGCTGGGAAGAGGAGGGTTTTCCAAGCAGGAAGGATCAGTGGGGCTCAGATGCAGAGATGTCTGCCCACCAGAATTTGCATGTCCATCAGACTGTCTCTAACCAAATGGCCAAGTGCATGCAGTGCTCTCTTCAATGCAGCACTGTTTGCTCTGGAGATGGGCTGTGATCAGTCACTCCACAAGGGCTTTAACTCCAGTGTAATGGGACCTATTACAAAAAGGGCCAGCCTTCCAGTTCCATGCAACCCGCTGGGCCAGGGAGGGCGCTGGAAGTTGTAGAGTCGCTGCGTGTATTTAAAACAAGATCTGCCCACAGAGAGAGATGAAGAAGACAAGGACATGCTAATATTGAGGTTTGTGCTCCCTGCCTGCTCTGTGTTTCAGCTTTGCCTCGCTCACCGAGAGATGTCTTGCTTCAGACCATGTCCCCCACGCCCCTGCGGCACCTCTGGCCCAACGCCACTTGCAAGCAGTTGCAGTGAACCCTGCATCTCCCGCTGCGCTGACTCGACGGTGTTCATTGAGGCCTCCCCAGTGGTGGTGACCCTGCCGGGCCCCATCCTCACCTCTTTCCCGCAGAGCACAGCCGTGGGATCCTCTCTGTCAGCTGCTGTTGGGAGCTCCCTCAGCACTGGCGGGGTTCCCATCTCTTCTGGGGGCTCCCTTGGTCTCGGGGGCTCAGGCCTGTGTCTGCCTCCCCCCCGCTGCAGTCTGAACTGCTGAAGCTGGCGGATCATCCCCTTTGGAGCCGGAAGGAGGACGTGCACCCTGCATGAGCAGGAGCGTGGCCACGGCTTCCAGATGGGCTGCGTGTCCTCTTCCCACCTGGCAGGAGGGTCCTGTGCCCACTGCTCCTCACTGCTGGACGAGCCTCGCACTGCCTTCTCTGTCTCTGCTTTGCTCTGAGCCCCTAAGAGAAAGGGCTCCTTCTCTTCTGCTTTGCTGAACCTCCTACTGAGGTGGAGAGGGATCTGGAGTCAGGGACTGCTCTTGGTGGCCTGGGAATACCACCAGGTGAAGCAGAATGGGAAAAGGGAAGCTCTTTCTGTGGACCTTGTCCTTTGGAAACGGGCCCTTCTCTGTGCCTCCCCAAACCCTGCAGACATCTTCCCTGGTCTCTCTTCTGTGCCCCTGCATTTGCTCCTTCTGATTAAAGACTATGTGCAGCATATCTGGAGTCTCGTGGTTGGTTGTTCTCCTCCTCCCTCACTTACCTGCTGTGCAAGGAGAGATCTGCTGTCTCTCATGACAGACAAGCATGGACTACTGCCATGTTTAGCTGGAGCTCCCTGAATTGATCGAGGATCAAAAATAAACAAGTTGACAAAGAGAAACAGAAAAGCCCCAGAGAAACTGAGCGAGGAAGAAGCAGTGGACAGAGTTGGATCTGTGGCTACTGCCAGAGGTATTGGTGGTCAAAGACGGGAAAAGGTTGCTCAGGGAGTAGAAGATTCTCCATCTTTGGAGATGTCTAACGTAGAACCAGACAAGGCCAGGAAAAACGTCCCCTGCTTGACCTGGACCTGGACTTTGTGATCTCCACCTCAGGTGTTGCGTGATTTGGTGAGAAACTGCTGGATGCCCCCATGCAGGAACAGCCAACAAGTGCAACAAGTGCACAGAGGGTGCAGGGGCCAATGATCCAGATCAGAGTGCGTGACACAACTGACCCAGCAGCAAAAGCAAGGCTGTCAAGGTGTAAGCATGCTGAGCAAGCCCTGAGGGAGCCAAAACCTTGCTCAAGGTCCCACTGAGATTTGAACTCAGATCGCTGGATTCAGAGTCCAGAGTGCTCACCATTACACCATGGGACCTCTGGGCGTATGCTCCATAGGTCTTTCCCCTGCAGCCACCCTGGCTGAGACATATGATCCTGGCTCAGCCTGCCAGTCTTTCCATCTCCCTGGCCATCAGTCATCAAGGGCAGCATTCTTTCAGGGACACTGGGCACTTTTCACTCACAGAAGAGGAAGTGGCACAGCATTTTGTGCAAGCCTCGCATACCCTCTCTCAAAAGACACAGGCTGGTATCCCCGGAGAATCTTCCTGTTGCCTGATGAAAACTGCTGAAGACCTTTCCAGCTTAACATCCTCATCACTCATACCTCAAAGCGGACATTCACAGCCCAGTGATCGGTGGTTCAGTGCGTGCACTTGTGGGATCTGCTGGCGTCTTCCCCTTTCAACTCCGCATGCGGGACAGCCTCTCAATCTGCCACTCTAAGTCATGGCCTGTCCTGTTTCTCACCTTGTAGCTCCTACTAAGCAGCCTTTGCCCAGATATCCTTACTCTCAGTTGCACTCCGAGACAAGCTCCTGACCTTGACGAATGAGGCAATCATGACAGGGGACAGCGGACGTGCTTCAACTGCAAGACCAACTAGTAGGAGGACCCAAAGCAGTTTGTTATGGGTTGCACAAGCTGGGCTGCCTTCCTCTGCTGGGACAGTCTAGGCTGACTTCAAACCCTGTCCTTTCTTTCAGGGACACACTGTCCCCTTGCGCCCCAGACTGGCCTCTCCCTCATGGAGAACACTGGTTGCTCTCCTGAGATGGCTCCAGACTCAGGTGCATTTTGCTGTGATCCTGAGCAGAGGCACTTTCCTTCATGCCTTGGGACCAGCACATTGCCCACCAAAGAAGAGTTCGTGCACACAGTGGGAAGAAGCTCCCTGCTTGAGGAAGGAGCATGCACTGTGACTCCCTTAAATGCCTTTCAACCTGCAGGATTTAGAGAAGGGAAAGTGGAATCAGGGCTAGCCCCAGAGCTGGAGCAGGCAGCTCATTGCCTGAGCCCTAGTGGAACTTGAGTGAGATACCCAACGTGAAGAGGAATCCACTGATAAGCAGTTAGACTCCACAACTCGTTAAAGTTGTAATGTAGGTATTCTTTATTCAGCGCTGAGGAGCATGGGGGATCGCTCCTCTAAAACCATGCACACCTTTCCTTTGCCACTCTGTTTGTTTACATTACATATAATGGTTACAGAAACATGAGATTGCTTCACGCCCTATACATATACAAAACGTATTCCCATCTAGTATTATAATCAGTTTTCTGGCATTTGTCCCATTGATGCGCTTGCGCAGTGCCTCCAGGGCGTGGATTTTAGGGGGTCGTGAGCATGAAGGCCTGTAGTTCTTCTTCATCACCGAGAGTTACCTCCTTCTTTCACGCAGACTCAGTAGGGTTTCGGCTCCTATTGAAACCTCAGGTTCGGTGCAAGCCGGTTTTACGTATCTTAAAGTAGAAACTTGTCAAACTTGAAAATTCTGTTACTGTTATCTTTGGTTCCTTTTCTTTCTATGGATACTATTTAAACAAGAATGTCCTAAATGTTCATTACACAAGTTATGAATCTTATCTACCACAATTCTGCCTAGCAGCTACTACTACAATTCTGCTTCACAGTTCTAGCAATTTTGACTCCTACAGTTCTGCTTCACCAAGCACAATGACTGTTTAAGCAAGCAGGCACAATGTTAACCCTTTATTTCCAGGTATCAGCACGTGTTCTCTGGGCACCTGCTCCAGTGCTTCAAGACAGCCTGAGAATCAATCAGTGGTCCAAAGCAGCCCCTGAATTCTGCTTTTTGCAAGCTGGGCCATGCTCAAAGCCTGGCTGGTCCCTGCTCAGCTTGGAGGAGCCCAGAGAAATATCCACAAGGCAGGGCTGCAGTGGGGAGTGGCTCCAGAGTCCCATGGGACCTGAACGTCCTAAGGGAAGGTGGGTTCTTCTGGAACAGGAGAAGCAAGGCACCCTGAAGCCAGGCTGAAGAAAAGCTTGTCTGCATTGTCCAGGAATCAAATGTGGGACAAGTGCTTGGAAGGCAGCTGTGCTCTCAATGATACCATCAATGCCCATGGGGCCACGACTGCCTCCTGCTCCCCCACTTGCCAGTCTGCCTGCCTCACTCTGCTAGTTCACAGAGTGACCTGTCTACTGCTCCTCCACATCAGTGCGTGGTCAGCCTTCTCCTTCCAATCCCCAGTATGCAAAGGACCTCAAGCTGCTGGGATGTCTGTGTTTGTCCCCTGGGAGTGACATCTTGGATGTTGACACTTTTGCTGCTGGGTGCTAGTAACAGTGCCTCTCTCAGACTACATTCATTCCTTTACCAGCTGTACATGTAGTACGCACGTGGATTTGCCTTTGTGGCTACGCACCTCTGGTGGCATAATCACAGACAAAAGCCAGCCAGCTGCTCACTCCTTCCCAGACTCCAGGGGTCGGATACAGAGAGCTGAAAACAGGATGGGTCATGACTTTGAAAAACACAGCTTAGCAAAAACTCCTACGGGCAAACCAGGCTTACCTTGGCAGGGGAGTCGGGGCATAGAGGGTGTGGAAATCGTTGCAGATTAAAACAGATTCATGTAGTGAGAAACAGAAACACCAACATAAAACACCGTCTTTCCTCACCCCTGTCCAAAGGTCTGTTTTACACATTCACGCCACATTCCTTTCCCTGACTTGTACTCCCACCTTGTGCAGCCCTAGCCTTATTGCTACCTGAGAGCCCAGGGCTGCCCCTGACACCATGCAGCTTGCCATAGCCCGAGAAACCCCTTTTCTCTGTGCCTGGAGCCATTCCTGTCCTGCCCAACACTGCTGGCCAGAGCATGCAGCAGGCAGGCAGAGGAGGGAAAAGCAAAAGGCAGACAGAGAGGGCCAGCACGGGGATGCAGATGTGAGCACGCTAAAGTGTCCTTTCCACTGCCCTTTCCTTCTTTATTCCTGCTGAGAATCTCTCTGAGGTTCTTTCTCCCTTGCAGTGCTTTCCCCAGCCTCGGTGGCATGGCTACAGGGAATTGACCATGTGCCAGCAATGTGGGTTTCTCTCCTCTTTCTGTAGGCTCTTCCTGCATGTGCTTCTCAGAGTTTACTTTTTCCTTTAGCTGCTAAACCACGCAGGCAGGCTACCAGAAGCTCAACCTCTGCCGCTGCTCTAGTAGGGGCAGCTGGGCATGCAACTGAATGAAGACCTCTGGGAAGCCTCACCTTAAATGCCTACCTTGTCAATGGAAGCAGAGTTTACCATTCAACCAGGACAAGACCAAGAAGGAAAGGGCTTTAACTGTCTACCTGAGCACCAGGCACACTGTGGAGCTGGAAGCCACTGCAGAAACCTGGTCATTTGGTAGCAGCCCAAAAAGCAGCTGTTCACCGTAGCTGGCAGGATTCGAACCTGCGCGGGGAAACCCCAATGGATTTCTAGTCCATCGCCTTCACCACTCGGCCACAACTACCTGATGCAGATCTCTTTGCCCCGCTGATCACAGTGCCTGTGCAATGACACCTGGCTGCCGGGGAGTTTCAGGGCAATGCTCCACTTCCAGATTTGTAGCCGGGACTTTCACTGCACGTGTAATGAGTCAAAGACCTCTCTGTGTTATCTCAAGGCATCCTGGAGGCCCTGACTAACCCTGTTCAGGAGCCGGCACTGCAGGGACATCCTGGAACTGGGTGCAACACCGTCCCTGGCAGCTAAGAGCTGAGACAACTTCATGTCGCTTGCAGCTTATGGCCTATGGAACACTGGAGAAAAAGGAGCCTCTCAGAACTGGACTCTCTGTCTGAAGGGGACAAAGCTACTCAAACCTTTTCTAGTTCAACCGTTGCTTAAAGCAAAACAAGCTACAGTCCTTCCTCTGCTGACATTCAGAAAACAATCTGCATGGTGAGGCTGTCTGTGGGATTTGTGTTAGCGCAGTGTTTACAGGCTTCCCTGCACTTCAACCTACAAAAGGACCTCGAGTCCATCTCTCAGAGCAGCTGAGAGCAATTGTGATGACAAAGGCAGAAATGCCTTTGAGGAAGCAGAACTTTTGGAGGATTGAGGCTATGAGCTCTGGCAACGCTGGCTTGCCTGCATCCAGGACACTGTGTCCTCTGAAGTCCACAGCAGTGTGACTCATGTTAGCCTGCAATTCAGGGGTTTTTCCCAACTTCCACATCACAATGACTCCCAGCTGCTCTAGGAGACTGATCCGATGTCCCTTTGTAATTTGAAATGCATGGAACTGGCCACCCCATCCCTGACCCAGAACAATGGGCTGTGAGTTTCCGGCTCCCTTCCCCACACCTCTCCTCAAAAGCATGTCATCCAGGCATCTGGTGTCTGGGACTCCCTTGCTGAGCAAAACAGGTCAATTTGGGTGTGGGTTTCACTCAGGGAAGATCGCGGGCGTCTCTTTCATCACAAAACCAGGCCGCGGTAGAGCCTGATGAACTTAAGCAATGTGCTCGTGGCTATCACTCCTTCCCGCAGAGAATTTCCTCATAGTGCACAATGGTCCTTTCTTGCTGTTGAGGGTACAGAGGTGAGACTGTCCGGCCTGCAGTTCCCCAGGTCTTCCTTTTTTCCTTTTATATATCTGGGGGTGGGGGTGCGTATTTCCCATTTTCCAGCCACTGGGTATCTTACAACTTTGCTATTTGGACGGATAGCGGCTTAGCAACTTCCTCTGACAGTTCCTGCAGGACTCTCGGGTGCATCTCCTCAGTTCCCAAAGGACTGGTGCACTTTCAAGTTCCTGACATGGTCTTGAACTTCCATCTTCTTCATGTTGGTCACAGCCAGGCCTCTCG